GCATGGCTCGCTCCCTCATTCCATTCAATCCATGCTCTAAGGCCACCTTGTGAGGCAGCACGTGCCCCCCACCCCAAAACACACACACACACACACACACACACACAGCATTCCTTGGATTTTTTTCCCCTACTTCATAACTCTGTAGCACTTACCTCTTTTAACATCCTGTATAATTTACCAGAATGTAGGACCTAAGAGGGCAGTGATTTCTGTCTTTTGTGGGGTTTTTTGTTTTGTTTCATTTTTTCCTTTTATCCCAGAACATAGAATGATTCCTGGTACAAAGTACATGCTTATGTTGGCCAAAGGAAAAAAAAAATTGGCGGGGGGGTGGGGTGGAGTGTGGATAATTTTTATATTTGGCAAAGAAGATTATTTTTATACTCAGGGTCGTTTTACATTTAGACATAGAGAGTATATCTTCAAATCTAGCACCAATTCTGAAATGGGAACTTCTCTTTCTCATAATTATTTGGGATATACTGCCAGAACACTCACAGTTCAAAAACCATAAGAATTTCAGCTTGCTGGCCAAGTACTTCCTATGAAAGAATAAAGTCCAAATGCTATAGTTTCAATGACTACCCTGAACACCTGACCTGTCTCGGGGAAGAAATCAGGTGTTTTTACTAACACATGACCAGCAACCTTAGTCTTCTTGTCATTTTCTTTTTGCCTTAGTATCTGACAAGGGCCAAAGCTAAGGAGAGTGAGCTACATATGCAACCCTGCAAAAAGCAAAATGATTCTGAGGCACATGGATGGCTCAGTCGGTTAAGCATCTGCCTTCGGCGTGGGTTCTGATCCCAGGGTCCTGAGATGGAGCCCCATGTCTGGCTCTCTGCTCAATGGGGAGCCTGCTTCTCCCTCCCCCTCTGCCTGCCCCTCCCCCTGCTTTTTCTCTGTCTCTCTCTCTCTCTGTCAAATAAATAAATAAAATCTTAAAAAAAAGAAGGCAAAATGATTCTAGTGGCTATTAGGCAAAACCCTAAGACAGTTCAATGCCTTCTTCCTCACTAACCATATTTCATGAAATACTTCTCATCTAATTTTGCAACCCAAGGGTTCCTAAATTTCCAAAGTGTCTCTGTAGAGTGAGGAAAGATTATCTGTAGGATTTTTTTTAACCTGCAGAATTTTGATCTTGTTATAAATATGTAAACTATTATTAGAGTTGTATTCTACTATTGAGACTACAAATAAAGTTAATTCAACCTTAGGTGTATCAATTCCTCTGTCTTCCACATTTGTGCCTTTTCTCTACCATTAGGTTGAGAGCTCTCATATGTGGGGAACTGATTAGGGGCTGAATTTCTACAGTCTTACTGACACTTCCCTGTGACCACAGGCAAAGCCTTAGTACCTAAATGTAATTCAGTTAATGACCCAGTTTATATAAGCAAAGCTTATCATCTTGCCTAAGCTGCGTTGGTCATTTCATCTTCCAATAATCTGAGTGTTAACTGCACCATGACACCCTCCCTCAGGTCATGATATCAACAGCTCTCAGTGACCCGGGATGCAGAGAGGCTCCCCCTGCAGAACTGACCGAACAACCTCCAGCTGTTTCTATTTACCATTACGTGGCAAGCACACACAAAATATTATACAGCCGCTGCCGACACACTCGGAGGCCACACCAGGAGAGAGACACTGATGAAGTAAGGTCAGTAAAACATCCATAGTGGGGAAATGAGTTATTAGAGAAACATGAAAACCTATGAGGCATTTAATTTAAGGGGCCAATCAGAAGCGGCAGAAGAAAAATAAAACTCGGTCCAGTACTTGCACATACATGTGACATTTTGGAAAAATGGCATTTTTCCCCTAGGACAGTGTTAACTGACATATTTCTATGTCCTTTTCTATGTTTTTGAATGAATTTGAGTCTTCATATGTATTATATCTTTCAACATCTCTTTTCCCGCTCTACTATTATACTGTAAACTTTTTTTTTAAGATTTTATTTTTTTGACAGAGAGAGAGAGAGCACAATCAGGGGGAGTGGCAGGCAGGGGGAGTAGGAGAAGGAGAAGCAGGCTTCCCGCCAAGCAAGGAGCCCGATGCGGGACTCGATCCCAAGACCCTAGGATCATGACCTGAGCCGAAGGCAGATGCTTAAGGAATAGCCACCCAAGGTGCTCCTTTACTGTAAACTCTTAAGTGGAGAACTGAGTGGTGGTGATTTTGTTCTTACTAGAGCTCTTCCATGTGACCGCTGGGAAAGTATTCTCTTCTCAGAAGAAACTGAGTGACCACTGTCAGGAAACAGAAGTAAAAATAGCAGGTTTGATACAGGTTTAGTAAATTTCTGTTGCTAACTCAAGATCTGGCATTCCCCAAAAATGGAAAGCCATAACTTTTCACTCTGCTCAGTGCTCACCCAGCCGGGAAGTGAATGTACATGTCAGGAATGTTTCCAGATGCCACGGAGCACCTCAAACTACACACTCTAGGTACATAACCTAGTTATTCATACTCGAGCTATGAGTAA